TGACTGAACGGGTGAGAGAACCAGAAGGTGATGAATCTGAGGACAGGCTGCCTGTGTACGACTTTATTAATACGAGAGGTGCTTTCCTGGGTCTGGGCTGGATTAAAACAAGGACCAAGAGACTTTAGCTGGAAGGGGGTGTATGCTTTTAATCCCAGTAACTCTGGAGACCGAGGCCGCAGGATGGAGAGTTCAAGGCCAGTCTGGACCACATAGCAAATTGAAGCCAGCCTCATCTACATAGAGAGACCCTATCGCAAAGCTTTAACCATATTAAGCCTTGCCAAGTAACTCTATCTTAGTGACTCAAAAATCTCAACTATACACACACTCGGAAACCTTGAAAAACTCTCAAGTGCATATTAAGTGTAAATTAAAATTTAATCCCAGGAAGACAGAGTCAGAAACCTAGCTTGTAGGTTAGCCTCAAATGTTGTAATTTTATGTGTGAAAATAGGAAAAACAAAACACAAAACGAAAGATAACTCAGGTCAATGATTTGAGTCAGCTGTGTGGTTGTTATTTGTGCCAAAATCACTGTAATCCAGTTAGCAAACGGGGCACAGGGGTTTTCTGTGAGCTGAAAGGCAGCATCAGGGGGAGCCGCCTGTCACTCACAGGCTGAGGATGTGACATTCTTACACGGCCTTGGCATGCCCTTCAGAAGAAAGTTCGTTGGGAGAGGAAGAGCCGTTTCTATGATGTCAAGGCCTACACAGCTGAGGCTAAGGGGAAGAGGCTGAGTGTGGACATCAGAGCCTGTGCATTTGAGCCTGGTTTTCTTGCAAAACATTTCACGTACTGAAGTTTGCACAACATCTTGGCAGTGGTGTGAAGCCTGTGAAGGAGGTGTTTTGTGTTTCACAGCTAACGTAAGGGCAGAAAAATGCAGGGCACCTAAATGCGCTTTTAATCCCGAACCGAAAGAATGCGTATCGCAGGTACACGATGGGATCCACAGCTAGGAACTTCACGAAACTTCCAAAAGAGGGCTTGTCGCTCCCTCTCCCCTCCATTCCAGGGAACATCCCTTCTCCCAGCTTAAGTTTCCAGTCTGGACAACCCTCTGGGCTCTTGGGGAAAAGGGCCCTAGAATAACATTTGGCGTGTAAATTTAGCACCGTCGCTCTGGTTGATTAGAGAGAAAGAGACATAGCTACATTTTCTTGGCACACAGATCATTTAAGATCTTCGGAAAGGACAGCCTTCCAGAGTTCTCTGTAACTCATTTTGAAGTTCACCAATTCTGCCAGCATTGGTCACTCTCTTGTGTCCACTTCTTTTCTCCCTTCAGTTTTGCCCCATTTCTAAGTTAAAAAAGTTTATTTTGGTGGTACTGGAACCAGGCCTCCAGTGCTTTTTTGCTTTAGCTATTTTTCAGACAGTCGTGTGTGTGTGTGTGTGTGTGTGTGTGTGTGTGTGTGTGTGTTTTCCCCAGGGACAGCAATCCTACCTATGCCTCCTCAGTGGCAGAAATTATAGGCACAGCCACCACACCCAGCTTGTTGGTTGAGATGGAGTCTCACTAACTTTTTTTCCCTGACCGGCTTTGAACCATGATCCTCCTGATCCACACCTCCTACGTAGCTTGGATTACAGGAGTATGATATCACATCCAGCTTCTAAGTACATTTTTAGTCTCTAGAAACTAGAAAGCTGCCTGGTACACACTAGACATTCAACAAATTTGTCAAAGGAATTAATGGATTGATGGGTACAGGATACAAGATATTAGGTCCGCATTCTAATCCGAAGGTACTAATAGGTATCACAGCACCTAATGCAAATCATTCTGCATCGCTTTGTTCTGTCAGAACTTTGGGGAAGCAGGCATGTGCAGTGTGTGCTGTGTGAATCTGCCTGGTGACAAAGGCCAGGCAGGTAACACAGTGGGGAAAATGGGCAGCTGAGCTACGAGAAGTAGTGAGGTCAGCCTGCATTTCACAGGTGACAGGGACACCGCGCCACATCCGCAGGCCGAGTATACTGCAGCGTGGTCCTTGACAAGGACGCTTGTCTCTACGACAGCCCTGCGGGGTAAAATAATGAAGAACAGGCAAGCAAGGAATATGTTTATAGCCAAGAGTAGAAGTTTGAGGAGAATTCTATCTCAAGAGTGTGCATTATTGGGACAACATACAGATTTCAGCTGGTCTGATTTTATGTCATTAATATAATTACCTTCATTTTACAAGTGAGGAAAAAGGCATACTACTCTGTATGTCTGTTGCTCTATGAAAAGTTAAGTGGATACTAAAAGAAATAGCACAGTGGACTGAGCATGGTGGCACACCCTATAATCCCAGCTATGAGGGAGGCAGAGGTAGGACGATCTTGATCTGAGGCCAACCCTGGGCAAAAGAGAGACCCTGAAAAATAAAACTGAAGCAAAAAGGGCTGGGGGTGTGAGTCAAGTGGTAGAGTGCTTTCCTAGAAAGTGCAAGGCCCTGAGTTCAAAACCCAGTATGGCGTGCACCTATGTATATGCGTGTATGTATGTGTATCTGTGTACATGCGCTGCAGTTGGCACAAGGCCTTTCCCCACTGTCAAGGCCCGAGAACTACGTGGGCTGAAGTAACACCGACAACGCCAAGCGGCTGTCACTTGGTAAGACTGGCTTACTGTGGGCTGGGCCTTGGACTACCTCCTCTCAGTCTCACGGGGACCCGTGAGGTCACACTGTCATTGTCCCATTCCACAGATAAGGAAGCTGAAGCTTGTAGAGTGGATTAACTTTAGTCAGACCCCACAGCCCTTGAGTGCTGGGCCTGGGGCGTGAACCGGCCTCCAGAGTCCTGCTTCTGTCCACTGTGCAGCCACGCCGAGGCGTCTAAAAGTCCTTTCAATTTTTCTAGCTGTTTGCCAACCGTTTTCCAAAAACATAAAAAGTTCTTTTCATGGTCTTCCTAAAATTCCAAACTGTAGAAACAAGCAGGTTGTTTCTCTTCCAGTTAAAGGAGAGAGTGGAGGCTGACAGGCCCTCCAATGCGCAGTCTCTCAGCCTCCACCTCAGGGTCTCCGCCCTCTCCGACCCTGCCTCTCTCCCTGTCACAGCCTCTGCCTCCCTCTCCTTCCCCTGGTTGGGCCCAGAGGCTCAACGACCATCCACCATGGCTTCTCGCCCACAAGATCTTCACCTGTTAGTGACTCTGGTGTGTCTGTCCCCAGGTCCACAGTCCTACTGGTTTGCAGGACACATGGGGTGAAACCTCCTCCCAAGGCCCATTGGATTCACAGTGGAGAGAGCTGTCTGTCACCGGGCACAGAGTGCGGGGGCTGGCTCTTTAAGCTGCCGCGAGGATGTGCCCCCGAGATGGCTCTGACTGTTTGGTGAGGGGCTTTCTCAGTCCTGCCCTCCTCTTCTGTTCTTCCCGGCCACTCCCTTCTACCTGCTCAGCCCTGACTGTCGGCCCAGGTTTAAGATGTAAATGTCTGTCTCCTCTGTGGTTCCAGTCTCCACTGAGAGCACAGAGGAGAGGGGTTGGGAAGTAGGTTCCGAGTCACAGACCTCTTCAAATCCTCTGTGATGACACATCTGTAGATCTGCAATCCCTCTGAGTTCAGAGGTCTCACTTGCAAACCTGGGATGACACACAAGTGCTTCTTGTTATTTTGCTGGAAGGAGAAAATGAGTCAAATCCTGGAAAGTGCAGAGCGCAGTGGCTGGTCCACGGTAAGCCTCAGGGACGGTCACTTTAGGATTATTGGGTCACTCTGCTCATGAGTTCTGTAGCCCCAGGGACAAGAAAAACAACACCAAGCTTCGAAGGGTACGAGGCTTTGGACTGGTGGCTTTGTTTTTGTTTTGTTTTTGAGACAGGGTTTTACTGTGCAGTACAGATTGGCCTTGAACTTGTCAGTCTTCCAAGTGCTAGGATTACAGGCGTGCACCACCACTCCCAACAAGCTTCTTCTTCTTCTTCTTTTTTTAACTTTGAACAGCTCAGGACCTAACTAAAGAATGGAGGATGAAAGGGAAGAGAATTTGCACAGATGGTATGCCTTCCCTTCTACTTCTCAGGCATCCTGACAGTTGCTTTATCTTTTCATCTTCTCTGAAGTCACACAGTGCAGGTGGAGTGGAAGGTTGGACGTCTTGCTCCCATAGATCTCGAGTCTCAACATGCACTCCTGGGATCAGTGAGCATAGAATCATTTACTCCGGAGCTCGGAATCTGCCTTCCAGGTGACAGGCGTGAGGACTGGGGGTGTGGATAGTCAGCTCGGTGTTTATATTGCGTCATCTAAAATTTGATCTTTATCATTTCTAGGGTTTAGACATATAGCATGTTTTCTCCCTTAGTTAGATGACAAATTCTCCCAGGCGAGGACCATGGTGTCACCCGAAAGCAGGTGTGCGGCTCGCTCCTCGGTACCTCGCTGGGGAGTAATGAGACTTGACCGAGCATGGCTCTCTGCCCTGCAGAGGCCTGATGGGTCAGTGCCCTCATCATACCTGATTTTGTCTGATGTGCAGAGCGAGGTTTTAATCGACCCTGTCTTGATATCAGTGGGGTGGGTGTTCTTCTGCTGCCTCACACTTGGAGATTGAAGAGTCTCCATAGGGAATAACATTCGCCTTCCCTCCAGAACAGTCATTCACCTCTCCCACCACGAACTGCAGCACATTTTCATGGCAGGATCGGCAGTAACCTTTAGGGGTACGAAGACTTCTTGCTTATCATGTGTGTTCCCGCAAAACTGAGAGGTTGCCTGAGTTTTTATGGTAGTTTTCTTTGAGGTTCCATCAACATCTCTAGAACATGGAGGCTCCACCATCAGAGTCCTGTGCGTGCTTTTCCAGGATCCTCCTGTCGTTACGAGCCGTGATACTCGACTGTAGCTTCTACATCCAAACGCAATTCTCTGATGACCAACCCACTAACCATGTTGGACGTTTGACACCATGGAGGACGTTTGGAGCATGAGGTTCCAGTCTGTGCACTGTGTTTACCTTCTTTTATTCACAGTAGCCTCCCCCCTCCCTTCTCTTCCTTAGGATCAACAGTCTGGGGGGCCCAGAACCCAGGCCCCAGTCCAAGTCCCAACTCCTGCTCAAACCCGAACCCTGGAGTTGGCTTCCTGAACTCCCAGCAATCGCTGCTGAATCAGCAGCTGATGGGGAAGAAGCAGACCCTGCAGAGGCAGGCCACGGAGCGGAAGCAGCAGCTCCTCCTTCAGCAGCAGAGACTGGCTGACACGGTAAGACTGGGTCCTGGCTTTTACTGCCCATGGTCCCGCAGAGTGAGGGCATTCCTTCCACTTCTATCCTGTCCTTTCCTATGTGCCTACTTCTGTGACAGCAGCAGGGTGCCCTGTCTGCAGGAGAGGCCAGCTCCATACATTTATTTCAACAGTTGTGATTTACAGGGCCTTGGAATACACAGTGCCTCCACTGCCCTGCCCTGCCCTGCCCAGCTCAGGAAAGTCTAGAACGACAGACATGGGCATTTGAAATAAGTGAGAGAAACCAGCACTTACAGACACCCGGGTAACTCAAATCCAAACTCATTTAAAACTACATGGAGCTTGGAACATTTGCCTTCCAAAACAAAACATCTCAGAATGAAAGATCTTTTTAAAGACAATTGAAACTGTATTTCTCATTTTCACCATATTTGTGTGGGTTTTTAAGAAAGCAAGGTCATGTTTGGGAAACACTACCCTGGTGGTAAGCCCCACTTCAGTACTTACCTGCTTGTCCCTCTGGATTCTCACACACACTCATGGGAGCCGAGCCCTGTGTCCTCCTAAGACCACAGCTCCATCTCCAGTAGTTTTCATTCTCCTTCTATTTGGTCAAATGAAGTAAGAAAGAGTCTAAGTTTAAGTTTCCCAGGTTAACAGAGCCAAGGTACAAAGAAAAGAGAAAACTCAGGGCTGCGAATCTAGTCCAGGGTAGAGCACTTCCCTTGCATAGAGTTCTTGCCTGGGTTTGATCCCCAGTACCACAGAAAGAGAAAAATAGAATCAAATCATTTTAGGCTCAAGGAGCTTTGCAGAACGAGTCAGAAGTGTGGGGTTTTAAATGTGATATCATTATTCAACAAATATTAATTTTCCAAGGCATAGAATGTGTTCAAGGATAGAGAAGCAGTCATGGAGGCCAGAGAAGGGCAGGACTTGATAACCAGGATGCACACTGTCTGAAAAGCAATGGAGAGGATTTTAAGGATTTAAAACAAGAAGTACTATATTCAGACTTGCATTATAGTAATGACACAGACATAAAAAAAAACATAATGGAGAGAAAGACTAAATTTAGCCTGGAAAAATAGACGGTGGTCTCCATCCTTGGATGTTGTAAATTGGACAGTGTTGTAAAGCCAATGTTGTAAATTGGCTGTAGGGTTCTGAGGGAACAGTAGGGTCTGCCATTTTAGGTGGAAAGTGAACCAAAGACGCAAAGATACAGTCTGGCCGTGTATTTATCGGTTAGTTTGAGATTATATTATGAAATATTTAATGCATGCTAAATAGTATAAATAACAACAATCACGTATTTTATAGGAGTGACAAATGGAGCATCAAAAGGAGAAATAGTGAGAAGCAAATTTACCTGATCTTGAGTAGGAGACAGTAAGAGCTAAATTTTCAGGTGACCTGAGTACTGTCCTGGGGCACAAGGTGTAGGGGAGCCAGGACTGGATCACAAGCAACTCCACTGGTTTCTTCTGCAAATCACAGTTTTGAAAACACCAGTGCTTCCACCTGTTCACCCTCCTCCTTTTCTTTTATCTTATGAAAGCAAATAGCTTAGAAACAAGGACAGCGGAAGAGAAACACATGCATCTAAAACCGACTTACCTGGTGTATTTTTACTCTTCCCATTGACACTACTAATTTGATCAACTGTGGCATGCAGAGGTTGGATTTGTGGGCCTCCAGAAATCCCACATTCCATGAGGATCCGGGTTTGCGGCTTCTCACTGGGACGGGTGCGATGGGCAGAGGGGCACTGTGAGAGAGGAAGGAAGATGAGGCTGCCTCTTTGATTTTATAAACCACTCACATTCTTCTTCACCTGGGCACCGCGGAGGGCGTCTTGAGGCCCCTTTTTACATCAGCATAAGCTGTGTGATGACTTCGTCATTGGCCAGACCAGATAGGCGCCTCAAGTGAGAGATTGCTCATGAACGTTTGCTACCCTTATTCTCTATTATTCTCCCGCCAGTGAAGCGCAAACAAGAGAAATGAGCAGTACTTACTGCAAAGATCATTGTTGCCAACATGTAGTATGCACCTTCTGTATGCCAAGCACCATGGCTGTTTTTTACAGAATTAAAGGATTCACCCTTACAGCAGGAGTCTGAGGGAAGGAGGTTCTGTAATTACCCACGTCTCACATTTTCACAGACGGGGAGACTGTAGCAAATGACTTTTAGGCTTGCAGGTGCAAAAGATTGGGTTATCATGAAAAGTTAATTGATTAATTATATTTTATATTGCTCAGAAGTAATTTCAGAGATGGCCTGTGCGTCATTCCCTTGAAAACTGTTTCCATTCGATACTGGGGTGTAGGTTTTGCTACTCTTCACATAAAGTAGTAGTTTGGCACTTCTATGCTATAGACCCCCAATCTAACTTATTTAAGGAGTTCTAGTCTAAGAAACTCAAGTTTCCAGACATGTATATATTAACCCTCTGAACTACAGCAATCGAGCTCTCTGAAAGCTAAAACGACAATAGCTTGAAGATACGTAAAAACAAATCCAGAGCTGAAATCTAGGATTGGAAATCAAGGGTCTAATTACCACACACACACACACACACACACATCATTTTCAACATAAATGGTAGAAACACCTAATTATATAGGAAACATGCTTCTTTGGAAAAGCTTAAAAATCAAAAATGTCAGTTTACACAAGGGTTTCCAAGGGCTTCTTCCACATTGCCACATTTGGGTTCAATGGAACATCTCAAGCTGTTTCTTAAACATTTTGGGTTTGGGCAAAACCAAAGAAGGAGTTTCACCAACCACTTTCCCTCCATTTGTAAACCAGTGTTTAAAAAAAATGTAATCCATATGTTTCTGATTCATTTACACTTAACTTGTCACAGTTGTGTTTTATATGAATTACTTGAAGACCAAAAAACTGAGTCGATGAAGTTTTTTTTCTTAGACACAGAAATGAACTTTGTTTGTTGTTGTTTTAAAGCTCTGTCCCCCCGTACGGTAGACTTATTCTGATTTGATTGGAAACTGAGACACACCGCTTTAAGTGAGTTCTAAGTGATTGACTCATCGTCTGTTATAAAGCTTTCTTTTCTAGACACTTTCCTAGAATTACAGCGTCTCTCTCCCTATGGCAATTGTTTTTATCTTTGAAAGCGGAGGTTTATACAATGCAGACAAATCGCAGTTCCAAAAAGTACCTGATCCGTGCGGAGAAAGAAAAACAGCAGCCCTTGATGTGCACGACTGATAGGACATCCAGAGCCAAGTCGTTCTGCTGTGCGGAACATAAGCAGTCTCACAAACTCTCAACTTCAGAGGGTTACTCTGACACCAGTGTAAACTGAGACAAAAATAAGGCCACTTCATAATTTTGTCTAAAGTCAGATATAACAAGGTCACCGTGTAACCCCCCGAAATACCAAACATCACCCTATCTCACTAAATGGATAACTACTTCTTTACAGAATCGTAATACAATCCACCTCACTTTCCAACAGCTTCCAGTCTAGGGAAAAAAATCTTCCCTTCCTTCAATCACCCAAAGTCAAAATCCTAATGCTGCTTGTTCCTGCTGAGACACCCCAGGGCCCCAGAGAAGGCACACCCTGGCTGCAATGAGTAATACCCCCAGAGGGTCTGCTCCTGGCGGTCCTTGGCTGAGGGCTTTGATGATATTAAAAGATGTCCCTATGTCTTTCCTAATCTCCCAAACGCTCCTGTGGAAAGGATCTAATGGTGGCTGACTCCCGAAGAAAGAAAAGGAGGGAGCCTGGGGAATTTAGCACACCAAGAAACCATACAGTAACGAAGGGCCCTTGAGTCCGGAGGCAGTAGGAAAGGCCTGAGTTTTCGGCTCAGGCTTTAGTCTCTTTTTTTTTTTCTTTTGCAGTACTGGGGTTTGAACTCAGGGCCTACCCCTTGAGCCACTCCATCAGCCCTAGCCCTTTTATGTGAAGGGGTTTTTCAAGATAGGGTCTCTCAAACTATTTGTCTGGATGGCTTCGAACTGCAATCCTCCTGATCTCTGCCTCCTGAGTAACTAGGATAATAGGCGTGAGCCACTGTCACCCAGCTAGTCTCCTGTCTATTGCTGGGTGCCCTTGTGTGCCCTTGACCATGTTACTTAGCCCAAGGAAGCTACTACTTCCTCTTCTTTTATGAAAATAATCATACCAACCTTGGAGGATTAATTATGAGGGGGTTAAAAACAGGCAGCATGCATCCAGTGCTTTACCAGGACCTGACAGGCCACCTCCTCTCCTCATCCTCTTCCTACCTGGGTCTGCCAGATTTAGCCTTGCAGAACACCCAGGTGTTCCTGTGTTATCTGGCAACCCTACACGTAGGCTTTCCATACACCGATGCAAACACAAACTAGAAACACGCAGGGAACTTGGTGCTTACCGGAATCTAGTTGCAGAGTAAAAGCTGTGAGAGCAGTTCCCAGGACACATGTTCAGTGTTACGGAGAAGTAGAAAGGACTTCCACACAGGAAGTTTATTGAAATTAAAAGGCGTGCCTCTGAATCAGCCCTACTAAATAAGGTCATGAAGATTTGTAACCCATGACTGCAAAACTGTGGTTATAGTCTTACTTTTTAAACTAGCACATAAATTTTTATAAGTGAAAAAGTAATGATATAATTTTAATATGTTCTCCTTTGTGCTTTCAAGGAGAAAATTGCACCACAAGATCAGATAAACCGACATTTGACAAGGCTGCCCCCAGACTACAAAGACCAAAGAAGAAATGTGGGCAGCCTACAGCCAGCGGCCCAGTATTCTGGTAAGTTTTTAAAACTAATAAAAATCATAACTGTGAAAAAGGAAAACTATCCAGTGCTCAACCTTTCCTTTCGTATTGACCGTGACACCTTCCCTGGTCCCTGACTCTCTCTGACTCCAGGGTCACTTTCAGATCAAGGCCACACTTGGTCCTTTCTCCAGCTCTTGCCATTCTTGTCCTGCTGAGCCCATGCATTCTCCTCTCTATAGTGTATTTTCCTAACCACGCTTGTGTAACCAGGCTTTTTCTCTCCACCTTTGAGCCCATCCCCCAAGGCTTCCTTGTCAAGGACAAATCATCCTGCTACCAAGGAATGCTTGAAAAGCAAATTGTGTCCTTATAAAGCCAACCCCAAAAACCAAAAGACACTTGACTACGTCTCTTCAGTCACAAAACAAAACAAAACATTTGACTATGTCTCTCAATATAAAATAGGTGGCAAACACTCCCCAAATGTCTCTCCTGCTATTCACTGGACTCCAAAAGAACCTCCCCAAACCCAGCCTGCTCTGCTCCTGCCTTCTGTTTAGCATCTGTTCAAGCCTCTTCTGCCCAAAATTTTCCGCACTTTTTCATGCACACCAAGCCATCTTCTTGGGTTTCCCAGCTTCCCTTTGTCCTGCTCCCCATCTGTCCAGGAAGTCATAAAGAAAATTGTCTAAAGAAGGAAAGGCTGTGAACACTGGTATGTGTTACTGCTTCCTAGTCCTGTTAAGTGTAATGTAAATAAGTTGCCCTAATATTTTATAATTCTTCAAATGCACCAGATGGTCTCTCGCCACTAAAATTAGGAGTTAGTGTATGTAGTCCACTCTCAAAGACTGTTTAGCCTCAGTGGAAAAACAGCATTCTCTCTTTGATTATTCTCAAATGGTTTCTTTGTGTTTTGTTGGTACAATAATAACCATCTTCCCCAGATGTTAATATTAGAAGGAAATCCAAAAAGAACCTGTAAAATTTTCTGTCACATATTGGAACCTCTAATGTGAATTGTTATTATTATCTTGTGATCTTTGTGGAAATTCTTTCTATTCTCATTGCTTAAAAATACCACAGAGTGGGCCATGGTGGCTCACACCTGTAATCCCAGTGCTCAGGAGGCTGAGAAAGGAAGATCCCAAGTTCGAGGCCAATTTGTGCTACATAGGGAGACCCTGTTTCAAAAAACAAACACTGCTTTCCTGTAAGCCTTCTCAAGGTTTTCAAAATCCAGCCCTTACAGGGATAATTTCCTGAACATCTGAATTTTTCCCTATGGCATTTGCATAGTACAAATTCCCTTCCCGTGAAACCCTCAGATAGAATGATGGTATTGCTTCTGTCACCGGTGTGCATGGTATACACTCAGCATCGTCTGAGAAGCTTCTACCTGGCCCTGGGCCCTTCGTCAAACACTGCCCACTGTACCATGCAGGGCCCTGGGTCGGGACTAGAGGTACAGGGTACAAGAGACTGTTCCTGCCTGGAAAGAGGTTTGTTTTGAAACAAGCTGGCCTTATAGGTAGCATCATCACTGAGCCTCCTCATGCCTGAGGTTACAGTTGCAGACAAGCCCTTCTCATAACTGCCACTGTGCTGTTCTCAGTGTGGAGCTCTCTGCTTCTCGCTGTTTCTCATTCTTCAGGATGAGTACTTCATAAAAGCATCGTTCTCTGGGTTTTGTCTTCACTTCAATCTCTCATTCATTCATTCATTCAAAGCGTATCAGTTGGATACCAATTTTGTGGCATCCACTAGACTCAGGGAATGAGACAGTAAACAAAACAGGAAGAAATGCCTTTCCTGGTAGAGCCTGCTATCTAACAGGCACTATTTTCCCCTTCCGGGCCCTCCATTGCTGCATCTCACGACGTCATCCCACAGTGATAGGAATAGTTCAGTGTGTTGGTTGGTCACCATCTATACCTGGAGTCTTCCTACTTGGCAGCTGTGATTTAGGCACTGTCCCCCATCCTGTCACTTCATGACAGACATCAGTTTAACAGGCATTCCCCATTAAACTGCCTAAGTGCTACAGGAAAGATTCAAAGAGAAAATGCTGCTGGAGAGCCGAGGCTGGATAATAAGGGGAAGCTTAAAGAGGCATTGGAGCCTTGGCCTGAGGCTGGAGCAAAAGCTAGGGCTCGGTGAGGGAGGGGCGTCATATGAGAGAGAAGCAGCAAATGTGCTTGCTGTGTACTCATAGCAGTGTCATAGTAACTAGTCGTCCTGGGGCAGATGGCTTTCCACGAGGAAACAGTCACCAGAGCCTGGATTACAGCAAATTCCAGATGCTCAGGTGGTCGCTTTATCCGCTGGACACTGGGGAGCCACTGGTGGTAGGTCCTTGAATGAGAGATGGCAGATGAAGAATGAGGTGTGATCTCAGGGCCGTGGGGTAGAACTGTTAACCCAGTAGCCATGTGTGGGATTTACACACGCTTTCTTATCTGAATGCTGGGGGAAAACGGTAGCATGGATTTCCTTCCAGCTGGCTCACCAGAGTTGTAGCTGGACTTGGAACGCAGCAGAGCTAATTCAAAAGGCAGGATTGACTGCCGCCTCAAAAGACTCCAGAAGACGACAAAAGTAAAACCTACTAAACACAACCATTCCATTTTAGTCTTCCTTCTGTAATGCGGGAACTCTTGAGGAGTGGCCTAGGCTGATACTTGCCCCCACCCCAGTTGTTGTAACCCTGCTATATAGTATGTTTGGTAGTTATTTCTCTCAAACTGTTCATGCATTGCAAATTACTGTAACACAGCTATTATCTGCTGTTATGAATGAATATAATTCTCTTCTCTCCCTTAGGTGGCCCATCGACAGTGAGTTTAAACTCCAACCAGGCTTTGACAAACCCAGTTTCAACACACACCATTTTGACTTCAAATTCCAGCCTCATGTCTACTTCCCAGGGGACAAAAATGCCATCATTATCCACAGCAGTTCAGAACATTGGGATGTATGGAAATCTGCCCTGTAATCAGCCTGGCACGTTCAACGTCACTTCAGGGATGAATCAACTGACACGACAGAGAAACCCAAGTCAACTGATAACAAATCAAAACAGCCCTCTGATGCCACGGCCACCCACCTTAGGGCCAAATAACAACAACAACGTCACCACTTTTGGAGCCGGGGCTATTGGTAGTTCACCACAACTGAGACCAAATTTAACCCACAATATGGCAGGCGTGCCAGCTCAGAGAACACCAAATATAATGATCACATCCAACACAATAGCACCAAACTGGGCTTCTCAAGAGGTGACAACCAAACAGCAGGAAGCCCTGAAGTCCACAGGAGTCCGCTTCCCCACAGGTGCACCTGCAGCCTATACCCCAAACCAGCCCTTGCAGCAGACAGTAGGAAGCCAGCAATTTTCCCAAAGGGCAGCAGCACCTCCTAACCAGCTAACACCAGCAGTACAAATGAGACCCATGAACCAAATGAACCAAACTTTGAATGGGCAGACCATGGGACCCCTCAGGGGTCTGAATCTCAGGCCCAATCAGATAAGCACACAGATGTTGTCTAATTTGAACCCATCAGGAGCAGGGTTGAGTCAATCAAGGACGGGTATTAGCCAAACAACATCCCTGACTCCCAACAATTTTCCTTCATCCACCCAAGGTTCCAGGGCTTTTCAAGGAGCTGACCAGGGCAGTGACTTGGCTTTTGACTTCCTCAGCCCGCAGACTGACAACATGGGCCCAAGCCTGAACAGTGATGCTGACTTCATTGATTCTTTGTTGAAGACAGAACCTGGCAATGATGACTGGATGAAAGACATCAATCTTGATGAAATCTTGGGGAGCAACTCCTGAAGGAGAAAGGGAGTCATTTCTAAACTCCAAGCACTAAAAGGCAGTATTTCACAAGGACAATGTCAAGGTCAAACTGTTGACTTCCAGATGGACTACACAAAGATACCGTGGCTTAGAAATGGAAAGCAGAAAGTAACATTGCAGTGGTCAACATTTTGGTCCAAATTCTTGTTTAAAACTCTCAAACCTGAAAGTAAAACACTGGGATCAGTTTTCCCTATCTGAACTTCAGGACAATTTACCCACATAGAACTGTGCTGTTGTGTAATTAATTGGCTCCCTTACCATAGAACTTGTAGATCATTTAACCCATATCATGAGGAGGTACTAGGTCCAAGCAACAAATTCCTTAATATAGTCTAATAGATATATGTGGCTTAATTTTTCCACTGTCTTTTCATTTAATCTTCCTAAAGTTTGCAGGACAGATTGAAATGTTAGAGTTTGCCTGGAGTGATGGAGCAGTGTCCTAAGTGAGGGAAAATCAGTGAATTGGAGACTTTCTTCCCTAGCTTCATGCTTCACTTCCACACTTTCCCCACACATCCCATGCATCAGCAGGGTGTAGGGTTGTGTGATTGGATTTTGGCTTCTATAATCAATTTCTCGATCTGTTCCCTGCCTAGTTTTAGATATGACTAAGGCCTGTCCTGATCATCTTCAAATACTAGACACGCTTGTCTGCATCAGATTTCACCTAAAAACTTAAGACATTTCCATAGAGGAAATGCTGTCCACAAAGAACCAGAGGTTTTACTCATGGTGCCCAATGCCCATGTGGTGCCCAAGTCAGTGAACTTGAACCTTCCCTCATGTATTCTGATGACCAGAAAGGGGTTTGCAGGAAAAGAAAGTTTGGAGACCAAAACTGAGATTGGAAAGTGTCATGTTTTGACTGGAGATGAGAATCAGGAGTGGTGGGCATGGGAGACATTGCTCTGTCTCACGGAGGTTAGAGGAGCTTAGATGGAAGACAAACATGATTGACTCTTCTTTGGCAGTGTCATTCGGCTTGAGTGAGCAGCTTCAGTTCCTGATGCAAAGAGTCCTTGCCGTGTGCTCCACGGGCTGTATCTGGGTTTTCTCCCTCAGGGCTGAGCACTGTGTCCAAGACAGAATTTTTGTTAAGCCATTTGACCTCAGTCCCCACAAACAGCTGGGTAGAAAATGGGGAAGATGTGGAGATTTGGGGGAGATGCAAATTTATCACTGTCGTTTCCTGATTACAAGAAGCAAAGGTCATCCTCGACCTCTGAGTTACACACTCCCATATTCAAATAGCAAATGTAATTTAGGTGAAGTTACGGAAAAGCCAAATTTGGGACTGAAGCAATACCTATTCAAAGAGAACACATTTGAAAGTTTTGCAAAGCCCACTTCCACTCTTTAAAATACCCAGAGGCACTGACAGCACCAACATCACTGGCCCAGATTCTTTCTGTGCTAATTTGTAAATATACATGAATTACGTGTTTTGTAAACTTTTGTAAAGAATATTTTGGTAGAAATACTTAAAACATATTCTTTGGGTTATATTTATACATATGTGAAATAAATATACTTTCAAAAGGTTATATTTTATACAAAAAGTAAATTGTTACCTTTTGTATGCTAATATACAAAGTTTTGTATAATAGGATGGTTTATTTTTAGCACCATGCTTAAACCACAGGCGATCAAGTGGGAACTTTTGAAAGCTATCAAGAGGCTTGTTAGACAAATTTATATTCTGAAACTTCAGTAAGAAAGCATTCCAGGTTTCAATCCTTCCCTTTTTTCCCCACTCCTGAGTTCTTTATGAAGCCTGTAGTTTTATATCTTATTTGATTATTCTGCTGTACACATTGTGTTAGTCCTTGTTGCATGTGGTCTGCTGTGTGTCTCTCATTTTATAAAACAGTGTTTCTCCATGCAAAAAGAGAGAAAAGTAATGTACATATAAACACTTTTATTTTCTGCCTCCTCCATGTAACTGTATATATCTGCCAGCACTTCCCTGGACACTCCTGTAATTCATTCTATTTTTACCCTAACATAAATAGTGCGTTTGTAGTAGCTATCAAATTTAAGAGATAAAACAATCAGAATTTTGGATTTTCTTCTATCTTAATGTGAATTTCATAATTAATGTCTATTTATTCAGCTATTCATTAAAATACAGGATTCTTTGGAAAAATGGTGTAATCTATAGCTTCTGTTTGTTGGTATCCTATTACCAAAGGTGACATAATTTTCCTGAAAGCTGAAGTAATGACAATTTGATAGACATATCTAGCCAGAACCTTAGGATTTATGACTTAAGAGCTATTGGAATATAATCTCCATTTATACTATAGAAACACCAGACTCCTTAATTGTTGGCATTGTTTATCATCTGGACATATTATAAAGGAGGTAGAAGTCATTTTTCTTTCTTTTTTTAATTCAGAGACGAGAAAGCAATGTAAGCAAATGATTCATCTTTGGCTTTGTGTAAGGCGCAAAGAAGAGAAATAACCGCTCTACATGAAATCACTAATGTGACCTGCATCGCTGTAACTCTACCCAGAACTGTAAAGATTTCCACTTGTAAAACAAGTACTTTGTATTGTGTGTAAGTCCATGTGTAAAAAAACAATTTAAAAATTCAGAAGTGGTTTTCTTGTATGAAGTCATACTTTCAGTCACCAACAGCATTATTGCTACATTACAGAGCTCTGAAAACTCATTAATAATTGGTACATAAAGGCAGATTTATTTTGTAGGAAGATTTTAATACTAGTAAAATGCTAACTTGTGTCTTTTCAATGTGTTTAGTTCACTTAGCTTGTATTAAAATTTTATGTACATAACATCTGCTAAATTCTGGAGAAACACTGCCTAATTCTCAGGTACTGAGGGCATTTGCCTAGCCTGCCGTGTGACACTGGAGACCAGGCACAGAGAACCCAGGGCTCAGTAGATACCACCTGGCCGGGCATATTTACACAGCCCTTCTTGAGAAAGATGGGCCTTTGTAGGAGGCAGAGGAACCATTGCAAATTCTCCTGCCCACTGTCTAAGAGTATCGTTAGGCTCCATTGCTCCCTCCCTCTGACAAAAGAAACTATGTGACATCTTTTTTATTACCATTATAAAGGGAACAATGATAAAAATTAAATTTTTGTGGCTCTTGTCTCAAAGATTGGATAGTAAACATCAATAAGAATGAATAATATGCACATAAATTAAGAGAAAGAAATAAGTAATTTCATGAGCCCTAGGAGGTAGCCATGGCAGGAGAGTTGAAAGAGGAACTCGAGAGTAAACTGAGTGCAGATGAGAGAACAGCTCAGACTCTTCCCAGGCTATGGTGGCTGACAGCAGTCAAAATCTTAACCACTTTATCCACAGTTTATTTCCATTTTATATTTATGTAAATATGTTTCATAGTCCAAAACAGAAAGTTTGAAGCTGAAATATATGTCCACTCCTTTCCAACTCTGGACTCTGACTCTGTGATAATTTTTTTTTCAAAACTTAGTAAAAAAATTACCAAAAGGTTCAATAGCATTCTTTTGAAAGTAAATTATTGGTCACTCAACATTTAGAAAATTCTCAGGTTGTCAGGCATCTTTATTTAACAAAGCAGCCATCTCCTTTAAAATTAAACCATGAGCAAGATTTCAGAATACCCAGGCCAGAAATAGACTGTTGACAAATAGAAAGGCAGTGTCAACCCTGCTGACCACTAACCCAGCCCTGAAGGTCAACAAACAGACGTGTGGTATAAGACGCTCGTTTTCCTGTGAAGTCATAGACTCTCACAAAGAAAGCATTTATCTACGAGGGAGGAGAAAAACCATTACTTTTGCACTAGTCATACTTTTAATCACTGTGACAAAACTTAAGGAGGAAAGATTCACTTCGCTCATAGTTTCGGTCCATCCTGGAGGGGGGTGTCACAGAGCAGAGCAGCTCACATCATGGCGGCCAGGAAGCAGAGACAGCAAGAAAGTGCCTACCCTCTGCTTTTTCCTTTTGCCCCTTTTATTGCAGCTGAGCTGGTCTTTCCCCCTTAGCTAATAATCTCCAGAAATCCCCACAGGCACACCCAGAGGAGTGTGTACTAATCCCTAGAACCATCTCAA